CAGTCTAATAAGGTCCTCTCTTCAAATAGTACTTTCTTTCTAAAAAAGAAATTATATCTCATCATGATCATCTTCTCCGACGAAGACAAATCTCCAAAAGATAGTAGTTTTAAGAAAGACATGGAGATCTTTTTTTACCTCAACGATTCCCTAAAGCTTGCGTTATATTTTTGTCATCTGTGTTGCACCTCCAATAAGCTTGAAAATATTGTAAAAATATTTATAGTGTATAAAATATTAAATATTTATGTTATAATAAAGTGAATGTTGTCAAGGGTATAATTTCTATGAAAAACAAGGTTATTAATGTAACTGTTATGAATTTTGATTATATTTGGATGATTGGATGTATTTATGTAATTCTACAGGAAATTGAAAATTTTAAATAATTTTTTTGCTGTAAAAATATCAAACTAGACGGAATTTTCGTCTAGGTTGCCATAACCTAGACAGAAATCCGTCTAGGTTGGTTTTACTACAACCTAGATGGAAAACCATCTAGGTCGCACCAACCTAGACGGAAAACCGTCTAGGTTGCTCCAACCTAGACGGTTTTCCGTCTAGGTTGAACCAACCTAGACGGTTTTCCGTCTAGGTTGTAGTAAAACCAACCTAGACGGATTTTTGTCTAGGTTATGGCAACCTAGACGGAAATTCTGTCTAGTTTGATATTTTTACAGCAAAAAAAATATTTAAAATTTTCAATTTCCTGTAGAATTACATTATACACATGAATACATCCAATCATCCAAATATAATCAAAATTCATAACAGTTACATTAATAACCAAATATAATCAAACCATCCAATGCACATATCCAACAATTTCATCATACACAATACACACATCCAACCATCCAATCCAAAATATACATAAATCAATTCGAACCAATATATACATCCAACCACATGTTCACTAACAATACACATGATTAAGATAGGGTACACAACATGAAGACCAATATATACATCCAACCACATGTTCACTAACAATACACATGATTAAGATAGGGTACACAACATGAATAAAAGTAGAGTGTTATAACACTAACAATACACATGATTAAGATAGGGTACACAACATGAATAAAAGTAGAGTGTTATAACAAATAAAATTGTTTATTGCATTAACAAAAATAAAAAACCTCAACTCTCGTCGTCGTCAGTAACATCTCTATCCCGGTTACGAGAACGGGTGCTGCTCCCTCCAATATCTCCACTCTGAAAGGTCCAACTAAAAAATAATTATGTGGTGTTTAATAACATAGTAAACAAAAATGAATTTATACATATAAAAAAAATAAGGTACCTGAACGCAGCTCTGCCTAGCACCGAAATTATCGCCAATCGAGCTTATGATCCGTATGATTCCACCGTATGCGCTATGGGGAATCACACCGCCTAAATATTCCATAGCGTACCCCATGAGATCGTCCATTGAGTTGGTCGTCCTCGCAACTCTAGTCATCTCAGTTGTCACATGAATATGCAGTTCTGGATCAATCTTGTCAAACAAATACGTGGAGATGTGTGCGATAAATGGCATGGCCTGAAAACTGCTTGGGGTTGCTATCGTTGTTATAGATGGCATGAAGGATGATATGGATGATCTTATGCTTATGTCGGGTGAAGCTCCAACACCATGCAGAAGATATCTTCTTCTCCTATTATTAAGGAGAAATAAATTTAGATTTTGCTTTCGAATCAATAATGTAAACAAATATAAATAGGAACGTAGCATTCAAATTGAATCGATCTTTTACCATCCATACCTATTATGTCCCATTACGTTCTGCGTAAGAATGATGTTCTCCTCTGTAGAAAGCATATGAGGGTCCGACTCGCCTTGTTCCCCCTCCTGCGACAACCTCATTGATGCAGCCTCCTTAGATGCAGTCTCAAATCCAGCCTAAATCACAAATATATAGTTAATTCAAGGTAAAGATCATATTATTTGTGTTCTAGTTTTCTCGTAATATTCAACGAAATAGAGTTAATAATACTACTTAAGTTATATATAAGTCTTATCACCAAATTGAGATTTGCCTTGATCTTTTCTTGATTCTTCTCCTCACCCCTATACCTATCACGGAAAGTACCATACGCCGCTTTTGCCTTCAAGTGTATCAGTATTTTTTATTTTTCCTGTCATATTATACATTTATGAGATTTCATAATTATATTAAGCATTAAGATCATTTTAAGCTTTAAATGACATATACCGTATCATGACAATAAACATCTTCCAGATTGGTATAGGAGTGTGCGCCCAAGTGGTGATCATACAGCTTCTTCCTTCTATTCTCTGACCCCTTCATGGATTTATTCTTTAAAAAAATATTTCAGTAAATATGCAATAAAATAATATCTTTTATTTATAAAGTAGTTTTTATGAAACTAACCTTGGCGGCATCGCTGTCCCAATACATAAGGAGAGCCGTGAAATGAAGCTCGTCAACTCGGTCATCGAGGTTTAAAAACCTTTACCAGTCCTCCTCATACCTGTCATAAGTAAAGTGTTTGATCTCATGCCTCCATTGTTTGAGGATTGCTTCAACCTTGACATTAAACACATAATTCCAAGCCCCCTCAAAGTCCTCAAGGAAGAAGCATTCCTGTAGATTTACATACACATTTAGTTCGGATAATTTAATATCAATTACTAATTATTAATAAATAAAAAGCTAAAGCAATATGCAATTACCATAAGCTCAGTCCATATCGCCTCGTACGCGGTCCATGGTAGTTCTCGGAAGTGAAAATAAGGGTTGATAATACTCGCTCTACGCACGAGAACCCCAATGTA